TTTAATATAATTTAACTAAGTTTTACTTTTACCATTTAGACGTCTGTCTAAACTCTTGATTTCGTCTAGCAACCTTATCTGGATCTGAATTTGATTTGAATCTGATAAATCCGATTCGACCGATTCATCAGATTCAGATCAGATTCAGATTGAATCAGATTTTTTGCGGAATACTACTTAAAAATATATATATTATTACAATTATTTTAATGAACCTAGTAGCTACTAGTAAAAAGTAACCACTCAAATGTCTTTCTATCATTGTAATTTGTAAAAATCACACATTAACAATAGTTTTTACTTATTTTTTCTTATTTGTTTTATAGTACTGAACCTTTTTTCTTTTGGATAAGATAAGTGGTTTTTGATATTTACTAATTTTTTCTTTTTTAATAGAAATATACTTTTTTTACTATTAGTTAAGATAATAAATAAGTCTACAATTCAGAATTATTTTTTTTTGGATTTTTACTAATTTTTCTTTTTTTAATTGAAGTGAACTTTTTGCTATTGGTTAAAATAAATTTACAAACCAAAATAGATTTTTACTAAATTTTTTCTTTTTTTAATAGGAATAGACATTTCTTACTTATTACTAAGGTATATTATAAATCAAAATTCTTTTGGATATGATTTTTGAATTTTTACTATTTTTTTTCTTTTTTAATAGAAGTAGATTTTTTTGTTATTGATTAAGATAAGTTTACAAATTAGAATGGTTATTTTTCAGATTTTTACTAATTTTTTTCTTTTTTAATAAAAATTAATCTTTCTTGCTATTAGTTAAGGTAAGTTTATAAATCGAAATATTAGTTTTTCAAATTTTTACTTTTTTTTAATAGGAGTGGACTTTTCTTTCTTTTAGCTAAAATATACTACAAATTTGAACTCTTTTGATGATAGTTTTTTGGATTTTACTAATTTTTTACATTTTTTACTTTTTTAATTAAAGTAAACTTTTCTTGCTTATTAACTAAGATAAGTCTATAAATCAGAATTTTTTTGGTGATATTTTTCAAATTTTTACTAATTTTTTTCTTTTTTAATAGGAATAGACTTCTTTTATCAAATATAGTAAATAATTAAATTAAATAAATTTGTATCAATCAAAAGCTTTATTTATTTATAAATGTATTTTTTTTTATAATTAAATATTAAATTAATGTAAATCATATCAATAATAAAAATTCTTTTATTATAATTGATCAGAATTATTTACTTATATAAAATAAATAATTATTATATTATCTGTATTATAAAATTTGATAAAATATTACCAATTGAAATATACTATTTATAAAAAGTAGCTTTATAATTTTAGCAATATTTTTATTAAAAAAACTTTAGTAAAAAATTAATTTTATAATTTCAAAATCATTTTTTACTAAAAATTCTAGTAAAAAATAATTCTATAACTTTAAAAATATTTCTTACTAAAAAAATATTAGTAGAAAATATAATACTCTTATAAAGTTTTTTTTTAAATCTGGATTTATTTTATTAAAAACATATTTATATATAAAAATAAAATTTAATTATTTTATAGTTTTTTCTTTTTATTACAAAGTATTCAAATAATTCTATAACTTTTAAAATACTTTTTATTAAAAATATTAGTAAAAAGTTTTAGTTGAAAAAACACTTTTTTTCTAAGAAAAAGTAAGTAAAAAATTGGCTTTATAAATAATTTATACTATTTAATCAAATATTTAATTAAAACTTGATTAAATTTGATTAAAGATTAATTTATATTTAAACAAATAAATTATTCTTTGATTATTTAAATAAAAATTATTTTGTATTTATATTTACTTTGATTTTAAATCAACTATTCAAATAATTTAATCAAATTATAAAATTCTAAAAGTTATTTATCAAATTTTAAGTTTTTTTTTAACTTTTTTATATTATTATATTTTATATTAAATTTATATTAAAACTTTAATTATACTTATTCTAATTTTAATATTTGAAATTTTACATAAGAAAGAAGGAATTTATCAGGAAAAATCTATATATCAAAAATATATTTAAATTTAGTAAACCTATTAAATAAATTTATATATTATTTAAATTAAAAAAAATTTCTTAATTTTTAATCTAAATATTTGTTAATGTTTATTAATCACTGAATTTATTTTATTCTTATTATCTATTTTAAATAAATTTTTATATTAATTTAAGATTAAAATTTTATATTGCAAAAGAAAGTTTATAAAATAGAAAAATTTACATTTATTACATTTTTTTATATATTTAAATATGAAAAATCATAATTTAAAATTGAAAATTTTATATATATCTAATATTATAATTATAAAATTTGAAATTTTTATTTAAAAATAATAGATTTATAATATTAAAAATCATGTATGATTAAATTTGGATGATGCTCTTAAAGAAAAAGGATTTTTGTCATAAAAAAAGGATGGAATTTTTAATATACTGTTAATAATACCTAGTCTAAATAAACAATATGAAACTGAAGAGTATGCTTATATATGTATATGCTATTGATAAAATATCCAAAGTATCTTTGAAGTTGATTAGCATCAGATTGGTCCTAATCATTACCATTTAAAGGGATACGAACAAAAAAAGAAAACTAACACTATTCTATATTCTTTTACTTCAAGAGTACTGATCAAAAATACAATAGTATTCCTATAATAATAAAATAAAAAATATTATAAAAATTAATAAATCAAAAACAACAATGAAATGAAATTATGATTTAGTATCTTATGACGATTTTACTGGCATTATAACAGAAATTGATTAAATACTGCTAGAATTATAATGCATAATTACTGCCACATTATATCACAAAATTTGATACTTCATATAGTCATGCATATATATGCACATAATAGCACAAATGGGTTAGTACGTACAAAAATCAGGTTTTGATCATATGATTTATATAGTCCCGCAGCATGATTTTCGTACGTACTAACCCAAATAATCTTTTTTAAGGGTATGTGCATTTCTTTTGGGTTGGAATTTGATAGTAGTTTAAATATAAGTGAATTGGATGTTTTATTGGCATAATCTTTACCAAAACTTTCTCAAATTGGAATTAAACAATTAAGCATGATGTATTTTAATCGGAAAATTTGAATAATATAAGTTACACAAAATATCACAAAATCTCTCAATTTTATAAAAAAATAAAAGTCAAAATGCAACACAATTTCATTTTAATACATACATAATTTACCACATAAAACCATCTAGAATGCGTGTCCCGATGTGTTTTCACCCATGAGACTTGTTCAATGCACCTGATTATGGTGTGCGCAATGTCATGTGATTAAACATTCGTTTGAAAAGTCAAAGAACCTAAGATTTATTAAAAAAATTATAGTCTGTTCTTTATGAATTAATCTTTCTTAACGAATTTTTTCCAGCCTCAACATTTTCCTTAAAAAAAATTAGTAAGAATATATCCATTATCTTTAATACTCCCTAATATTCCTCTATACAAAGATGTTTCTTCTGAAAAGTCTGTGCGATTCTGGGTCTATTTAGCCAGGTTGTAATAATATATTTCGTGAGCAATAATCCCCGTATTTCATTCCACAAATGCGGTCTTGAATATAAATTGACTGACTAAATATTTTCAAATTGAATTGTTCAAAGATCTCTTACATGTGATTTTACGAGAAAAACAAAGGTAATGTTTTTTTTAATCGTCGTAATGTAAATAGTAGAAGAGATTCATTTAATTGCAAACATTTATTGATGGCCACAAGAAGTGACAACAGACATAATGAAAATCAAGTACAATTAATTTATTGTCAAGTACAGTACATAAAAAATATAAGAAAGATACATATAGTTTAAAATAAAATAAAGTGGTCGATTAGATAATTCTTAATATCATAAATGATCTTATTAAGAACAAAAAAAAAAACTAGTGCAAACGTTATTAATGGATTTAAAAAAACATTTCGAATAAAAAAAACGCTTAATACTACCGAATGATAATAAATCCCGAGGGGTTTAAAACAAAGGCATCATTTTCGGAATCTTAATTTCGGGTTGAAAACTAGGAATTAAAGTTGGTAAACGAGGTCGAGTTCGAAGAATAGGTACATCTGAGAAGACTAAGGTAGTATAAGAGGGGTTGAAGACAATAGTGGTGTGTTGCTTGACATGAGATAAGTCAATAGTATTAGTACCAGGAATTTTGGTTTTTTTGACACCACGTTCTAAGTGTCTACGATGTGTGAGCCACATTCCTTGGATCCTATTGACAGCACGAAATTTTTTGAATTTTTTCTCCATTAACTTTTGGCAATGAGACCATCTAATTTCTCCGGATTCCTTTATATTTTTTGTAACCCATTTATATATGAATTCCTTTTCTTCCTGCGTAAAAGGACCATCCGTAACTGATCAAGAAGAGATTTTAGTTTTTTTTTTAAAAAAAAAAGAGCAAACCAAACATAAATTTTAATTACGGCGAGGGTTGAGCTTATAATTCCACCTAAAATTTATGATTGAAAGAAAATCATAGAAAGTCATGAATAAAATTTCTTGAAAAATAAATTATCTAGATAAAATATTGATAATTACCTATGACATATTTGTTTGGGGGTGAACTTAGGGAGACGGCGACTCATTTCCACATACGGTTTATAATGCTTTTTCCCTTCATTTTGCATAAATTCCCTAATTTGGTCATCGGTCTATAAACGAGATAAAAGTGTTAAAAATATATTTAATTTTTTCTTATAAAATAAAACATACTTCTAAATCAAAAAGAGGCATTATATAAGATTGGTGTTGGGTTCCTTTAATGGGAATTTTTAATGGATTTTTGAAAAAAATGTTGGGTTCCTTTAATGGGTTTTTTTAATGAATATTTTATTTATTTATTTTTTTTTTTGAAAATGATGGAAAAAGTCGTAGAATTCGTCGTTCTTTTATAACAAAAAATTATATTAATAAAGTATATTCATCAAAACGTTCATAAATATTGAATTACCAAAATTAATTTTTAATCGGAATTCTTTTTTACTAAACTGTTTTCTTTTTTTTCATAAGAATCAAATCTTTTTTTGTATATTAGCTTGTATAAAAAAAAATAAATATATTCACGGTCGTACTAGAGTATGTTATACCTTTCAAATTAAAAAAAAAATTTTATTACTTGCATTAGCACGCCTTTGTCTAATAAACCTGTTTTTGCTAATTAATTTTTTGTGTATATGCCATGCCAATCATGCAGATATTATTTGGTTGAGGGGTTTAATATTATTATTTATTTTTAGATTTCTAAAATTTCTCTCTCCGTGGATTCTATGTAACCAATTGGAAAATTTAGTTTATATGAGGTAACAATATTGGGATGTCGCCATTTTACCTTTTTTTATTATGTTATTTTTAAATCTTAAATTTTTTTTTGGGGGAGAATTATTTTTAAGTTTCAGTGGGCTTTTTTGTTTCATGAGTTCTCTCCTTTGCGAAACGTCTCTTGATTAAAATAAACAAAGTCCCGCATCTTATGTTCATACATTTGCCATTATAGTAAAGCTCTTTTTAGAGAATTTCTTATTAAAAACCTAATGGAGGAAATATGAAACCAATGAATTAACACAAAGAATACAATAATAACGAAAAAAAGGGCTATTAAAAGAAGAAATGCCTCATCAAGTAATTTGAATGTAAATTTTACGGAATTTTGAAATGAAATTCGTTTTTTAGGTCTTGACGTTATCGATGTTTCCCATGTTGTGTCATATTAAAAATACCCATATGACTCATCTTCCATGAGAACGTTTTTATAATAATATTTTTTCTCCTATTCCTTTATTTATTAAAAGAGATCGGCAGATATCTGATACATTTTAAAATAATATAAATAATATTAAATAACATCATATTATAAACATTAAAAACTTTGAAACGTAGATACGGGTTGTTTTTTTTCACAAGATATGATAAACTTATACATTTTTGGGTTCTATAACAGAAAAATGTTCGTCATCAGATCAATTTAAAGACCAAATTGAAACACAAATAATCCGGCAGGTTTTGTTTCACAAAGTACTTTGCAAATAAAAACTTCTGCCAAATTTTTTATTTGTTAGTTATTTGTTTACAATTGGCTTATCGATCATTTCCTCTTATTATCATATATAAAATACCTACATAATAATATATACTAAAAATTTTACAAGTATATAAAAAATAAAGCGTAAATATCAAAGTATTATTGACTTTGACTAGAAGTAATTAACATAGATCTATATTATGGTCCGATGCATACATTTGATAGTTTATTAATTATATCTACTTCTAGTAAACAATATTTTACTTTATTATTAATTTCAACATATAATATATAAGTAATTTAAAATAAGATTATTTGTATCTGTAAATATATATATTTATTAATATAAAAAAAATATATTTAATAATAAAATTAAAAATTAAATAAACTTACATATTATATTAATGTCATATTATTAATTTGAATAATTTTTTATATAAATTTTTATAAAATCCTATTATAAATCCAAATAACTATACATTTTTTTTACTTATAATAATAATTGAATAAACTTATTGAATCATAAGTATTCTATTTTCATTTATATTATTAATAGAAGAATTAATTGATCAATTACAATCAAAAATTAAAACAGTTATATTGCATATTTTACATATAACAAAAATCTCTTAACCAAATCAAATTAATTAATTTAAATAGAAAGTTTAAGTGATTAATTATAAGTTGTTTTGCTAGTAAAACAATTGTATTTACTTATTTTATATCAGTAAATTATCAATGTTTTTATTGGGACTCACTTATTTAATTAATAAAAATTTTGCCAATGATTATTTTGCTAACGATTATTTTACTGGTATGATCATTATACTGACAACTATTTTACCTACAATTAATTATCTTGCTAATATAATCATTTAACTAATAACTATATATTTAATTATTTAAGGATAGTTCCTATTAACAAAGATTAGACAACTCTTTTTTACATTTTTGTCTTTCTTTAACCTTTTTAATAAATAATATTATCTGTGAAGTTGTTCCTTTTATTCTAATAAAGATAAACTTAATGTTTATGATTATCTTAAAATTAAAATAAAAATTGAAGAAATTTATATTACTGGTCTTATAAAAAACGTAATTTACTATAATATCATGAGTAAGCAATTATTAAGTTAATTAAAAATATTAAAAATTAATATTATCTTCAACATACTTCTAATTACAATCATGTCATCAGTTTAATATTATAAAACTAGTAATATATTAAAGAGCGTGTATAATAAACTAAGATAAACTTATTCAAATTATTCAAATTATAGTAATTACTACTTCAATAAGAAGTATATCCATATTTTCCATCTTATAATGCATTTTATCAATTGATTAGAAAAATTAGAAATGTAAATTTACTTGCAAAGTTATAATCTTTAAAAAATCTTATTATTTCTAAAAATTTTAAATAAACTTTAAATGGTTTTAATTTTTTTAATTAAATTTCTACAATAGATAATGATAGAATATTACTTTTTATAACTATTGTTAAATATTAGATATTTAAAAAAAATTTTTTTTTGAATTATAAATAGAACTTTTAAAATAATACTAATTATTTTTAGGTAGGATTGGTAAAAGTCCTAATTGGTCTGATTAATTTTAAAAAATTATTAGTTTTAAAAATTAAATTTTTTTAAATATTATCATTATATTCAATTTTTTAATTAAAGTTACTTATTAAAATAAGTTTAAATTTTAAAAAGAAATTTAAAATATCTTTTAAAATTTTAGATCGAAGATCTAGGTCCTAGGATCAGGGTTTAAATTAAGTATATTTTTTATTTTAAATTTGATATATAATAATTATTAAAAAGATTAATTTATTATTAAAAAATTTAATTAATAGTATATAAATTAAAAATTATTTTTAAATTCTTTAAGACCAGTTAGGATTTTTACTAACTCTATTTTTAGATAATTATATACTATTTATAGATATATTTGAGAAAATAAAATTCACAAATTATACTTTTTGTTTATGCATTAATATCAAGTAAATCTGAAGAGTATTATTTCAGAATTTAATTGATTTTAATGATAAATAAAATAATAATTTACAACTATAATTTATTTTAACAAATTTTGAAGACTGTTATTAATGCTATTTATATAAAATTTTAAGATGTTCAAATAAAGAATATTATTTTCATTTAATTCAAAGCATTTATTATTTCTTAAATTGTAGAGTTTGCAGACAAATTTGACTATTTATTTACTATAAATTCTCCTTTGATTTACTTTTATAAATAATTAATATTTTTTTTAAATTTTTTTTAAATTAATTTTATAAATATATAATACATTATAACAAATATTATCTTTTAATTATATAATAAAAAATTTAATGTTTACTTAGAAGCTTAAAATTTGTAATTTCTAATATTAAAAAATTTCATAATTAATCTATGATAAACTTTTTAGAATTTACTTTTAACTATATTAATTATAATTAAGGTTGCTTGGCTAAACTCATTTTGGATTTGGTTAAACGTTTAAACCTTTAGTTTCGTTAAATTTTTACTAAATGTTTGATATAGTTTTGCTATTTTTATAAGCTTTGATAAAGTTTTACCTTTTTCTGAATTTCGCAGATTTTTTAATAAAGTTTTAA